TTATTAGGTGCATAAATATTAGGAGTATGTCCTCTTGATTAATTGACCCTTTATCATTATAAAATAACCCTCATTTTCCCTGTTTATATATTTGCCCTGAAATCTACTTTAGTAGTCTTTTATTAATATAGCCCTCCAACTTTGATTAGTGTTAACATGGTATATCTTTTTCTATCCTTTTACTTTAACCTATTTGTGTTTTTATATTTAAAGTAGCTACCTGTACCCAGCATAGAGTTGGGTCTTGCTTTTTAATCCAGTCTCACAATCTCTGCCTTTTAATTGGGATGTTTAGACCACTAGTGTTTAATGTAATTACTGACATATGTATTTTAGAAAGACCCCTCTGGAGGTAGACTGGAGACAGAAAAACAAAAAAGTCTATTGCAGTAACCAAGTTAAGAAATGACCCTGGGGCCGGCCCAGTGGCGCACAGCTACAGTGCACCGCTTGGGAGTGCGGCGGCGCTCCCGCCGAGGGTTCAGATCCCACATACAGACCGGTTCCCACTCACTGGCTGAGCAAGGGGCGGGCGCAGCACCGAGGGTTGCGATCCCGTTGCCGGTCCCGGTCCGGTACGGGCGCGACACAGGGTTGCGGTCCATTGCCGGACACGAAAAAAGAGACAAAAAGGAAAAAAAAAAAAAAAGAAAGAAATGACCCTGGAGATGGAGTGGGAAGGGTATTCAATCACTAGAAATGTAGTGTAGTCAGAAAGATTTGTGAGTCAAAGTGTAGGTACTTGGGTGGATTCCAAAGTTTGAAAGATGTTATATAAACATGTTAGAAGCTAAACATCTGAAAACATTTCTGATCTGGTGGTTACTGCGTGATCCCAGATTCTCTAGGCAGAAAGAGGGATAAGGGTACTTTAGAGACAGTATGGGATGAAATAAGAGACCAGCCCAATAAAAATAGTGCCAGGAGTACAGGAAGGAATTGTTTCAGATGTCTGGGTAGTTTTGCAGGTTGCCTGGAATTATACCAGCTCATCTCATTTTCCATCTTTACCCAGACTATGTTGAATCTAATGTAAAAGGTACCAAAATACTACATACCATAATAAGTCCCTAACTCACAACAGAACTATTTTTGGGAAATCCATCTTTTTATAACTAGAGGGACCTGCCAGAGCAGTTTTACTCTGAAGTTGGTTGACATATCACTAATTCTTCATTAATGAGAGCATTAGTTTACAGAGTAACTCTGAGTTAAAGCAGAATAGAGAAGAGTGAGTATTAGGGATAATTCAGGGAGGCAAAGGACACTCTGATGTACCACCCAGAACCCCCTTTAGTAACAAAGGACTTGTTCCTCCAGCTGCTGGAAGTGCTGCCAGCAGAGAGGCTGTCTTGCCAATGACATGCCCTCTTCATGGGGCAGCCCACATCCATTAACTTATTGATGCAGAGGATAAAAGCCCAGCTTCTCTGTCCCAACTCAGGACAATTCTGGAAGGCCATCTGTGCTTAGGTCCCCAAGAGCACCCCCAAGTTTGATGATTCACTAGGAAGACTCACAGAATTCAGCATGTAGTTGTACTTATCACTTGCAGCAAAAGGCTACAAAGAAAAAGCAAAATCAGCAAAGAGAAAAGGCACATGGTACAAAATCCAGAGAAGCCAGGTGTAAGCTTCCTAGAGTCCCTCCTCAGTGTAGTCACACAGGGCACACTTAATTCCTATGGCACTGAATTGTGACAGTCTGTATGAAATGTTGTCTACCAGGGAAGCTCATTAAAGTTTGTGTGTCCAAGGTTTTACTGGAGGCTGTTGTTATGGGAGGCTGGTGTTATGAGCACCCTTTGCCTAACACATTCCCAAATTCTAGATTCTCAGAAGGAAAGCAGGTACTCAGCATAAACCACATTGTACAAATAGCTTAGGCACAGTAGAGCCACTCTTATCAGTTAGGGACTGGTGGGAACCTTCCCAAAACCCAAGTTCCCAGATGCCAGCTAAGAACCTTGCAGGCCTTTCTGAGGATAGCAGTCTCAGGCCTGCTATGTCAACTGTTTTTTGCATACTACCCTAATTTAGAATTTCTGTGGGGTTGTCTAAAGTGCTACCTTTAGAGACCTACAGGATACAGGGGTGGTGGCCTCCATCATATCTCCATTTAACACTACCCTGGCTCCAGCAAGAATTTAGACAGATTCCATAGGATGACAGTGGACTAAAGCAAATTCAGCCACATAATAGCCCTGACTACAGCTGCTGTGCTAGATGTGTTTGCTATCCTTGTTAGAGCAGATTAACGTGACCATTGATCTGATGGGTGCATGCTTCTCTATCCCTATTAGAGAAATGGATCAGAAACAGTTCATATTCACATGGAACAGAAGCTCTTGTTTCTGTTATAATCAAAAGAGACCTAGACTGGATAGACATTCTACAGTGATTCTACAGAAAATCACTTAGTTCACTGTATCTATGGATTATGTTAACACAATGGGATGAACCAGAAGTGATCACTAAATTGGAGGCCTTGATAAAGCACATGTGCTCCTATAAATTTCAGGGACCTATAACATCAATAAAATTTTGGGGGAAGAGTGTCCAGTGATGTGGGGCATGCTAGGACATCCCCTCTAAAGTAAAAGACAAATTATTACAACTTCTGTGTCCCACTATGGGGAAGGAAGTACAATGCATGATAGGCTTCTTTGGGTTCTAAAGAGCATATTTCACACCTAGGAATACTGCTTTCCCCTAAATATTGGCTGACATGAAAGGAAGCCAGTGAGGCCCAAAGCAGGAAAGTGTTCCCTGGTAGGTCCGTATTGTGGTGAAAGCCTATCTGCCATCTAACCTAGCAGACCCCATATTTTTTTTTTTTTTTTTGTCTTTTTTCGTGACCGGCAACGGATCGCAACCCTCAGTGTCACGCCCGTACCGGACCGGGACCGGCCACGGGATCGCAACCCTCAGTGTTGCTCCTGCACCTCGCTCAGCCAGTGAGCGGCCGGTCTGTATGTGGGATCCGAACCCTCGGCGGGAGCGCCGCCACGCTTCCCAAGCGGTGCACTGCAGCAGTGCGCCACTGGGCCGGTCCCTAGCAGACCCCATATTAAGAGTCATTGGTAGAGGGAACACATGTGGAAGAAATTAAAACAAACTTCTGTATACATACTCTTCACGTTTCTCTGCCCATTACTGAATAACTGAATGTACAAAAACCATATAACACATTACTGGAGAAAATATTTTATTGTTCAAATAAATAATGAAATTTTCACCCCTCGATTATTTCTGTAATTTTGTCATTTATTAAAACTATGTTTAATACATTTCATTTTTTCTCAAATTAAAGACTATGGTATAATTGTAATTATCTTCAACAACCAAAGTCTATTTCCCAAAATTTAAACTTGATATGTAGAGAAATGCCACATCAAGTCCATGTACGATATTAGATGCTGAGGTTGAACTGATGTATTGGTATGTTCCAGGATCCAGAGGCCACTCCAAGCTTTAAAAGCAAAGTGAAACCCTTAGGTCAGCCTTGGCTGCCTGAGGAACCTTTAAATGGATATGACTTGGTTTTGTTTTATACAGGATGGCTCTTCCCTGGGCTAGGGTAGAATCTCTGGGAACAGAGGAGCAATGTATATACTGTGTATATAATGTATATACTGAACACTTGTTTGGGGTGGCAGGTGGGGAGGACCCTGTTTTTTATGTCAGATTTCTATTGGTAACAATTTCTCCATAAGAATAAACAGTAAATGGGCAGCTCTGGATCCTTAATGATACCAATGTTTTGCCAAGTTACCTATTTCTCAGTGATACTAGGTCCAATAAAAAAGATAAGGGCTGAGTTCACTGTAAACACAAATAGTAAAAGTGACTGTGGCAATTGTGACATGGCAGAAACTGGGACTTTACTCTTGGAAAGGTCTCCCAGGCTTGACTTATTCTAAGCAGCCAGCAGAGTGCTAGAATTTGGACATACTGTGTTTGGATCTATCCTCTCATTTTTCTCCATTGTCCATTGACTTACATTAATTTATATACTCTCAGATAGGGTGAGAGAAAAAGTCTTCATCTCTATCAAGGTATCTCTATAAAACCCCAAAATCCCATTAGGAGTGTCCATTATGAATTTAAAATTAAATAATTAAAATAAATAATGGGTGGCTAATGAAAGCTTTTTTTTTTTAAGGTAGTAAAAAGATATGACCTCAGTGATTTCCTCTTAGCATAATGCTGACCTCTCAAATGTGGTAAAATCCCAGTTAGAGGGAAGGTTTGGAATTCTACATAAAAGTATAACATGCATTAAAACAGAAAATTCTTAAATACAAAAAAGTTCAAGTGACGATATCCTCACTGATATTCATGTAACACAAGTAATATTACAATGAACAAATTAGCACAAAATGCAATTCATTTCTTGTTAACACAATGAAACAACTGATACTCAAATTCTAAGTACTATAGCAGGGCTTTCTGAATGAGGTTCATATATGTATGTGTGCTTCAAAGTAGAGTGTGGCTTTGGCTAATAGTTTTTATTCTAATCCACAGTATTTATGACTCTTAATTTCAGTTGTTTTTAGTAAGAAATTATGGGAAAAGCTAAATTTCTGACACTTAGATCAATCTGAAAATAGCTAAGAGTTATTTATTTGTATATTAGGCAAGAAGCTATTTTAAAGCTGCTGGTAAGTAAACCTATTTTTCTAAATAAAAGCCCTTGGGTAATAATCTACTCTCCTAATTAAAGGAAAATATTCTAATCCTTTCACCAATTTCTATTTCAACTGGAAGAACCAAATTATTAATTTTTAATAGTTTCTTCTATATTTTGTATTTTTTAAAATGTCAATAATGTGATTTTCTATAAAATACAAAGGAGCATTAAAAGTATCCATGTGGTACTGGCGTTCTGATTTTGAAGATATACCTGTACAATGGTCATGAAGCAAAATGTTCAGACCTGTAAGAGCAAATAACCATTTAAAAATCAGATTTATGACTCTTTTTTGTTGTTTTAAAAGCTATTCAGATATACATCAAAGTGTTCTTAGTGAGGAGGAATGATGATATTGTACTAAAAAGCCAAGACTTCATGAAAGGTCTTCTTAAATTGGCTCTGAACTATTTTAAAAGCCAAAAGATCTTCACCATGTGTTATTCTGAGGGCCAGTACTATGGGAGATCTTATAAAAAGGTTCTTTGATATTACTGACAATTAAAGCACCTTGGATTGAATCCAAGATGGATATGTATTACAAATGAATTCTGCTTTATAGTAGAATACATTTAAAATAAAATTCTATGTACTTACCATAAAGCATATATAAGTAAAGGTGCTCCTTTGAAGCCAAAAACCAGATGCTGATGAAGTGTCTAGTTCCTACTACTATAGCTAATATGGTTAATTTGATATCATTTCCTTAGTCCTGCAGAATTTTCTTGATATTTTAACATCTTACAATAGTGTTCTGGCACTAGTTTAGGTCTATGAAAACATAATTATCACAAGTCACACAAAAACAGACTACCACAAATTTCTGTGCATCTTCCAAAAAGTCTTTGGATAACAACTATAATGCATACTGCTCCAGAGGATCCAAAGAAGCACTTTAAATGATGGATATTATTTAGCAATGGCAATTGAGAATTATTTTCTAAAAAGCTGTACCAATCTCAGTTTTAGGTAGAACATAACATGAAATTATTTCAAGAAATTTAGTCTCGTCCTATGCTGTCCTGACAACACTCCCAACAGAAAGCATCCAGTCTATTTGCTGTTTCTTGGCTGATCAGACATTCATCCTTTAATTCCCTGATTGTCTTCTTCAGTGATTTTTGGAAACGTTTTTCTCGGTCTAAGACATTCCGTAGACTTTCCTTGGTATTCTCTAGCTCGTTGATCACATTATCTAATTTATGCTTAAGTTTCTTTGGACTGTCCATTACACTGTAGCTATGTTCCTAAAAACATAAATACAAAGTTATTAAATCAGACAGACAAGTAGTTAGATAAAAGCATATAACTAAGCCTCTGCTATTTCTTCATGTATGATGCTTAGAGAAGATCTTTCAGTTGGTGATATTTAGAGGTTTAAAGAATGTAGGAAGAGAATGGGGGTAGAAGCAATATTTAGGGTGCCTAGGGCCTCTCTCTTATCCTAAGGCTAAGCATACATGAGGAGTTCAGAGTATTATGGATGGGAAGCACTTCTCATCTGGGGGTAGGCATCTGCTGTGAACGTCATGATACACAATGACTATACAGCTTTCATTCCCTAAGTGTGGCACTGGTGAGTTTAATTTTCACCTATTAGATGAATTTAAATTGTTAAATTTTTTTTTTTTGTCTTTTTTCGTGTCCGGCAACGGATCGCAACCCTCAGTGTTGCGCCCGTACCGGACCGGGACTGGCACGGGATCGCAACCCTTGGTGTTGTTCCCGCACCTCACTCAGCCAGTGAGCGGGAACCGGTCTGTATGTGGGATCTGAACCCTCGGCGGGAGCGCCGCCTGGCTCCCAAGCGGCGCACTGTAGCAGTGCGCCACCGGGCCGGCCCATAAATTGTTAAATTTTTAATTGAGTTACTTTGATGAATATTTCAATTTATAAGGGATGACAGGAAAAGAGCACTGGAGCAGGTCCTCAGGCTGGGTGTTAGGGATTGAGAGAGAACCCTGGTCTTGGAATTTTAAAGACATAATTTAACTCTTTTCAGTATTTATTATGGTTATATTTAAGTTTTCTGGGTATACTTTTTCTTTTTTCTTTAGAAACAGGGAAAATAACACTGATGTATCTTATATAGGTACTATGAAATAACTTTGAAAAGCTGTTAATTAATATGAAAATTAGTAAAGAGGATTTTGCTTTCCAGCCAAGATAAAGAAACAGGAACTGGACTGACTCCTACTTATAAAAACCAACACATGGCCAAAAGACATAAAAAATAGTTTTGAAGATAATGGATATCAGATGAGGAAGGCAGCTATCATGGAGAGATTGCCCCAGCTTACTGCCTTGAGTTTTTAGACCTCAGTGCAAGGAGGGGAAACCCAGCCAGAGCTTGGCAGGCTGAGCTGAGGAGATAGTTCAAAATGTCCAGGGAGACCATGGTGGCACAGTTCACAGGACAAAGTACTAGAGATAAGAGAGAGCTGCACAGAAAGGAAAGTGTGGAGATCTTCAGAAGCTCCCTCTCAAGTATTTCACAGCATAAGATCAGTGCATGCACATGAGGAAGCTACTCAAGGCTGAGGAAGAATATCCAGAAATGATTAGGAGTGCCCCGTACTCACAGGGTATAGGCACTACTCTCACCACCAGCTAGACTTGAGAACATCAAGATTCAAGGGTTATTGAGTAGAGTGTATGAAGGGTCTTGCCACAGTGGTGGATAATAAATAGCCCTAGAATGAGCACTGTTCTAGTCCTGCCAAACAAAGCAAAATCTGAAAGGATCAAACTGTTTCTAAAAAACCACCCCAGAACAATGCTTAAGAAAACAGGATACAAAATATCTAGCATCCAGCAAATTAAAATCCACCATGTGTGGCATGCAAATAAACAGAAAAATATTACCCATAATAAGAGATAAATTGATCAATGGAAACCAACCTAGAACTAACACAAACATTAGAATTAGCAGACAAGGAAATTAAGAAAGCTATTAAAACTGCATTCTATGTATTCAAAAGGTTAAACAGAGACATAAAAAATACAAAAACAAAAACAAAAAAACTCAAATAGAACATTCAGGGATAAAAACTACAATGTGGGGCTGACCCTGTGGCTCACTCGGGAGAGTGCGGAGCTCCCGCTGCGGGTTCGGATCCTATATAGGGATGGCCGGTGCACTCACTGGCTGAGCGCGGTGTGGGCGACACCACGCCAAGGGTTGCAATCCCCTTACCAGTCACAAAAACAACAACAACAACAACAACAACAAAAACTACAATGTGTGAGGCAAAAAATATATTTGAGAGAATGGCAGGTTAGACATTTCAGAAGAAAAGATTAGTGAATGTGAAGATACAGCAATAGAGAATATCCAACACAGACTATAGAAAGAAAAAGAAATAGTAAAAACAAAATCAAACAAAAAGAACTAAGCATCAGCAAGGTGTGGCACAACTTCACACAGCCTAATATATATGTAATTAAAGTACCTAAAGGAAAAAAAAGAGAAGTTGGAATAGTAAGTAGTATTTAAAGAAATCATGACCAAAATATTTCCAAGTTTGATGAAAAATATAATTTTGACAGTAGATTTTTCATTAGAAACAATGAATGTGAGAATACAGTGGAGCAACATTTTTAAAGTACAAAAAAATGCCAAAACTATCAACCTAGAATGTGATACCTAGTGAAAAATATCTTTCCCAACTGAAGACTAATAAACAACTTTTTCAAACACTGAAATGCTGAAAGAATTCATCACCAGCATAGCTGCACTATATAAAATGTTAAATTAAGTCTATCCGACAAAATGATACCATATAAAAACATGGACTTACGCAAGGAAACAAAAAGCCCTGGGAATGGGTAACATACATGGGTAACATATACAATTTTTTAAAATTATTTAAATCTCTTTAAGTGGCAATTACTGTTCAAACAAAAAAATCAATGTAGTGTGGGGGTTTATAGCTTATGTAAAAGTGAAATGTATGACAGCAATAGCACAAAGGTTGGGAGAGGAGAAATGAAAGTATACCATTATAACATTCTTATACTGTATGAGAAGTGAAATAATATCACTTGAATAAGTTAAAGATTTATGCTATAAATTTACAAACAGCTACTAAAATAAAACAGTTATAGGCTAATGAGTTAAAAAAGGAGAAAAAATGTAATCATAAAAAATTATTCAATTAATCCAAAAGAAGAAAATGGAAACACAAAAAAATGAAACAAATAGGAAGATAACAGATTTAATCTAACTATATCAATCATCACATTAAGAGTAAATGGTCTAAACAACCCAATTAAAAGGCAGAGATGAACAGATTAGATTTTTAAAAAAAAGCAAGATCCAAAAGTTTATGCTGCATGCACATATAAAAAATGTGCTTCAAAGATAAAAAGACACAAAAAGGTTGAACATAAAAGAATGGAAAAAGATGTATGATGATAACACTACTAAAAAGAGATCTATAGTGGGAAAAGTACTATTAGACAAAGTCAGTTTCAGAGCAAAGGATATTACCAGAGTCATTACCTGAAGGTCATATCTTAATAATAAAGGGGTTAATTTTCAAGATAATCCTAAATATTTATGTACCTAATAACAGTACTGTAAAAAATAATAAAATTACTGACAACTGCAAAGATAATTAGACAAATCCACAATTACACTAGAAGATTTAAACACCCCTCTATAAAAAACAGATAAAACAAGGAGACAGAAATTCAGTAAGGGTAAAAAAGACTTGAGCAACAATATCAAACAACTTGACCTAATTGACATGTATAGAATTTCCAGGTAACACCAGCAGAAGCACAGTCTTTGCAAATGCACACAGAACATTTACCAAGACAGGCCATAATTTGGGTTATAAAATAAATCTCAATAAATTTAAAAGAACTCAAACTATGCAAGGTATATTCTCTGACCACAACAGAATTAAATTATAAATTAATAACAGATATCTAGAAAATTCCCCAATAATTATAGAAGAAATGATACCAATTCTACACAAACTTTCAGAAAATTGAAAAAGTTGGCAATATTTTCCAATTCATTCTTTGAGGTCAGTATTATTCTGATATTGAAACCAGACAAAGACCTTTCAAGGAAAAAAAAACCTAGAAGCCGTATATCTCATTTGAATATATAAGAAAAGATGAAACAAAGTTTAACGAATCTAATCCAACAATATATAAAAGGGATAATGCAGCCTGAAGAAGTGGAGTTTATTCCAGGAATACAGGTTGGTTTAACATTCAAAAATCAGTTGATATAACTCATCCTATTATAACAAACTAAAAAAGAAAAATCATATGCTCTCTCAATAGACAGAAAAAGTTTTTGACAAAACTAACAGATTTCTGATAAAAACTTTTAGCAAACTAGGAACAGAAGGGCACTTCCTCAACCTAAGAAAAGGCATTTATGGAAAACCTACAGTTAATGTAACATTTAATAGTGAAAGACTGAATGCCTTCTTCCTAAAATCAGGAACAAGGCATGGAAACCAGCAGTTAGTACTTTTATTTAGCATAGCCCTAGAGATCAAAGTCAGTACAACAGAGCAAGAGAAGAAATCCAAGACAACCATATTGGGAAGGAAGAATTAAAACTGTCTTTAATAACAGAGAACATGATTATCTGAGTAGAAAATCTGATAGCGTCTACAAAAAAGCTGCTATAATTAATAGGTGAGTTTAGCAAGTTTGCCAGATACAAAATCAATATATAAAAATCAATTATATTTCCATATACTAGCAGCAAATGAAACAATACGACTTATAGTAGCATCCAAACATAAAATACTAAGGGATAAATCTGACAAAGTGAAAGACATGTATTCTAAAAACCATAAAACAATGCTGATAAAGGCTAAAGACCTACATAAACGGAGATATACTGAGTTTATATGTTCAAAGACTTACTATTATTAAGATGTCAATCTTTTGCAAACATCTGTAGATTCAACACAATACCAATAAAAGCTCCAGCAGGTTTTCTGGTAGAAATTTAGAGTGATTCTAAAATTCATATAAAAATGCAAACAACCTGGAATACCCAGAACAATTTTGAAAAAGAACAAGTTGGAGGACTAATACTGCCTAGTTTTAAGAAATATTATAAAGCTATGGTAATCAAGACAGTAAAACAGGTCTAAATTCCAGGCCTGGCTCTAACATAAACACGCAATTAGATGAATACATAAATGCAAGCTTAAACAGTCTGTATGTGCATGAGTATTTTCAAGAAAACTGAGACATAGCTATTTTTCATTAGATATTTTCATATAGAAAATATAGCACTTAAAGGGAAGGATTAATTATTTTCTTGGTAGAAATATCCTTGCGAAAACATTCTTCAAATTAAATACGTAACCAGAGGATTAACTACCTGTATACACCTATTGCAAACATATACATTACAATGACCCCAGGAAGCAATATTATTTGTGGGTATTATATATTAAAAAAAAATCTCGAACACCTAAAATCCTAATTTTTTGCTAAGATTCTGAAAAGTCTGATCCTAATGGAGAGGACATATTCATCTTAAAAGTATTAATAATTCAGTAAGTAATTTTACTTACAAAAATGAACTGGGATTGGAATTCTTCAACACATGAGGAAGCACCAACAAGCTGGTAACTGTGGTTTGTGACTGGAAGGGTTTTGAGGATGAAGTTTTTTCTACAATGAAACTTTTCTCTTTTCCCCTGTTAAGAATAGTTAATGACAGTCATTGAGATACTTCTGTCCTTTCTTAAATTTTTATTCCTTCTTAACTTTGTGTAGTAAAATTAATACCACATTTCTTTTCAGGGAAAATGCTTTTAAAAGTCAGTAAATGACTTTAAAGGAAATTCCTGAAAACAACTCTAAAGTTCATCTAGAAACATAAATTTTCCTAAAAAAAAGATTGATAATGAGGGAGGATATGCTCTGCCAGCTATTAAAAATATAGTACATAGTAACAATAGTTATACTCATAACCAAAATATAAATTAAAAAACTGTGCTACTTTGTTAGGACTAGACAGAAAAACACAGAAATAAATCAAGTAGATAAACGCCTTTAAGATAAAAGTGACATTCTAAATAAGTGAAGAAAGGCTATAAATCATGTTGTAAAAAAATCAACTAATTAAGAAAAGCAGTTATATCCTTTATATATAATAAACATATAATAAAATTATATATATTAGGCCAGAAAAAATTCTATGTACTGAAAATTTATGTAAAAATGAAAACCAGGAGGAACTACAAAAAATATAGGGAATATTATGTAATCTTAAAGTGGGGAAGACTAGAGTCATCAACACAAGACAAAATATAGAATCAGCTGTATAAAACAAAGTCTGAGTTTTAAAAAATAAAACAAAATAAACCAGTGCCATAATTGGAACTAAAGGAAAACAATAAAAATTAAGTGCAACACGGATGGCAGTTAAATGATTCATATCCTCAATATACAGTGTTTTCACAAAATAGCAAAGAAAAAGATGAAAACCGAAGAGGATCTAAATAAGTAACTCCCAAAAGAAAAAATACAAGTGTCCAATAAACAAATGAAAAAATGTAGAAACTTACTAGTATTCAAAGATAAATTAAAACAGTAAGATGCCATTTTTTCCTACCAATTTTAGCAAAGGTTAAAAACACAACTTATATCAAGGATTAGTGTGGATAGACACTCTTATGCACAGCAAGTAGATTGATGCACACTTTCTGGTGAATCTTTCTGGGAGATCTGTATCAAAAGCAAAGCTTTAAAAGTATATATCATCTTTGACCCAACAATTTTATTTCCAGGAATTTAGTTCCAGGAAATAAGGGTATTTATAAAGATTCAGCTACAATAATGTTCATTTTAGTGCTGTTTAAAATACCCAAAGATGATAACCTATACACAATAATGTGGATTGATTATGTAAACTATTGTTCATACACTATATGCTATATGATCATTGAAGTATTCTATAAAACTAACACCACAAAGTACTGACAGGGGTATGGAACAAAAGGAACTTTTATATGCTGATGGTGGAACTATAAATTTGCAAAACCACTTTGGAAAACTACGACAATATCTACTCAAGCTGAACATACACATCCCGAGGAGCCGCCAATTCTCATTTCTCTTAGAAGTGTATATATATTCTACAGAAATGTGTACATAAGTGCACCAAAGGACATGGACAAAAATGTTCATAGCTGCACCATTTATAATATCCCCAAAGTGAAAAACAACCCAAATATTCATCAACAGTAGAATGGAGAAATTAGTTTATTTATACAATGGACTGCTATCACATGCTACATGGATGTATCACATAAACAAAATGTTGAGCTAAAGAAGCCAGGACTATTTATATAACTGATAGTGACAGAGGTCAGGATGGTGGGAGGTAGTGACTGGGAAAGAGTATATGTGAGGCTTCTGGGATACTGGTAATGTTTTATATCTTGGTCTGAGGGGACTTACATGACTATATTCACTTTGTGAAAATTTGTTGATTTGGACACTTAAGATGTGTGCACTTTTCCATGGATATGGTATACTTCAATATAAACTTTACTTTAAAAAAACTGTTCTATATAGGTTTCTCTGAAACACATGATCCACAGATCTGCAGCACAATCATGTGGGGTGCATGTTAAAAAGTGCAGATGCCTGGATTTCAACCCAAACTCACTGAATCAAGTTCTCTGGGCATGAGGCACAGGATTCTGTATTTTAAACAAACTCCTTGTATAATTCTTACATTGACTACAGTTTGAAAGCCATTGTTGTGGGAAAATATTTAATGTCATGGAGAGTAGTGGTTAACAGTAGACTTTGGAGCCAAAATACCTGGGTTCAAATGTAGCATCTGCCATTGGATAGCTGTGTGACCCTGGGGAAAGGCATTCCAGTTCTCTGGCCTCAGTTTCCTCAAGTGATAAAATGAGAATAATAATAGTACTTCCCTCATATGGTTATTTCAAGTACTACATGAGTTACTATATATATATGAAGTGCTTAGAACAGTGCTGACACATACTAAGTACCATACAAATGTAAATAAGCAACAACAAAAAATCCCCAAAAAAGTAAATAAAAAAAGGATATACAGTGTAGTTCTATTTTTGTAAGATTATCTATATAAGTATAGATAATTTTATATAAAACACACATACAAATGACTGGAAAGAAACACACTGAAGTGTTCATAGTATTATCTCTGGATTATATGATTATTAAATTTTACAACAAACATCTAATTTCCTATAATGAAAAATTTCTTTATTAAAAGGAAATTAGTTTTTGAAAGGTAGTAATTTACGGTTTATTTGATTTATTATGTCCACATTTCTTAAGGTCCTCTTAACATTATAGCTAGATTACAGCTTGTTGGTATGAAAAAAAAATCTTCAGAGCAAATTGCACAAGATACTGTACATTTATTAATATGGAAGAAAGAGAAGCAGTCTCTACTTGATCATTTAGACACTGCAGTATGACCAACTGTAGAAAGTGACCAAGACTGCACGGAAGCAGGTACACTTCGGGACTACTTCCCTTGTTTCTAGCTGTCAGTAAGGAGATACCTTTCAGCTCTCCCTGACTTTTCCACTTTGGAATCAATCAGTAAGTCTATAGTTTCTGAAAGCAAATACACTTTCAGGTATATGAAGTCAAGAGAGATACGGAGAGTGAAGCAGCCAACCCATAACACACACACTGTGAGAAAAAACATAAAATTCAACTAGAGTTTCTTATTCAAACCTTCTATTTTCTTTTTCTCATCTCTTCTTTCCTTCCTTTCTCCTGTTCTCTGTCTCTTTTGGTTTTCTTTCTTTTGATCCTATCTAGGGTTTAAGCTTGCATATCTGTGGCTCTTAGAATTATACTTTGGTTCTGTAAGTGGTTCTCCTCTTGACTTCTGCTCCAGTGTGAGGACTGCCAACTCAGAACTTTAGTTCAACTCTTAGGTTAATCTCCATTTTTTAGATAGAAATCTTGAGTTATGCCAATTCCCAGTCAGTCCACTTCACCATACCTTAGTAATGTATAAATATTTATTAGTGGCTACTGGTAAAATCCTCCTACTACACAGAAGCTGAAGCTGCAATGTACAAATTTAAAAACCCAAAGAATGGACTTCAAATGAACAGGCAAATAAAAATGTTAGCAAGAGTGGTGAAGGTTCTTCAATAGTACCATACATAAAAAGTGAGTAATGATGGTAAGCAGTATCTCATAAACAAACCTGTAAGTGATATGGGGAATCAAAGACAGAAGGTATTACTCCAGGTTTCAATTTAATATTTGGAGCACTTCTGTCAAAATCTGTCTTCTTAAAGTGCCTTGAACACAACACATCTCCTTTTTTAGGCTCCCAAATGCCTGCAGCATTTACATCAAGTCTTTTCATTGCTAATACCCATTTTCTTTTGATGTTTTCATCTGTGGGAAATCTAGGAAAAAATACAAAAAATATTTTAAAATTAAACACTACTGACATATATGAGAGTACTTCAAAAAGTTTGTGGAAAAAAATTAAAAGATAATACAAATCTTTCCATGAACTTTATGAAGTACCCTCCTACTTGAATTAAAGCTGTTTTACACAACTGTGGCTAACTTGATTCCTTAACTAGTTTGTTATTATTACTGGGAACTGCAATATTTAGGAAACTGTGATTCATGCTTTTAAAACTTTCTGTTTTAGTATTCAGATTTTTCTGCCAATCACGCCTCATTTCAATTTTTCTCATAAGGATGAAAAGTTTCAGTGGATATTTAGCACCTTATAGTAAGAACCATAATGGAAGGTTTTTCATCTATAAGTGATAAAGAATATTACTTGGGAATTTTCCTATCTGAAATGATATCCAGAATTTATCCCCAATGAATAGGGCTCTCTGGTACTGTCACTCTTATGTCAGTATCAGAAAATTGCTTAGTACGGCATTTAATACACAGCAGGTCTATATATGCTTAGTGCATGAATGTAGAGAACAGCTACAGAGTTTGGAGTTCTGGATATCAGAACTATTTTTGAGAGATCTGAAGGATAACAACCATAGCTTTGCCATTTTTCCAATCTGGTTCAAATCCTTTTTTAACAGTACACACACTCATTTTTGTTTTCTTTATCTAGCAAAATAGGTAGCAGATCTTTCTTGAGCAAATAACACACTGCCTGTCACAAAAGCAGAAAAATAAACCTTTAGCAAATGAACAATTATTAAATCTTATTGCTCCTTTTCTTCTATAGCTGTCAGGAGAATGGCTAAAATACTAAATTAGGCTCATATTGATTCATCTCATTACAGCTAAAGAACTCTTGGCCTGAGCTTGTAATTTATATTTTTTTCCCCTATAGCCTAGGCTTGATCTATTTTTAAATTGAAAGCACAATATATTTGAGCAAAGATCCTTCATCCAAATTATAAACTACATGTAAACAAACCTGAATTTCTTTGAAGGTATGTTAAAACTCAAAGTAATATTAGCAAAAGTGAGTTGATGATATTTTTAGTTAAACAATCTCTGATACTTTGGCTGGTATCCTAAAACTTCTGATCTAAATTATAAAAGTGTAAAGGTATGACTGTCACTGCAAATTTAACAAAAAAGTTATATAAAAAGGACTTGGGAACTAAAGTTCAAAATCAAAGGCTTAACTATAACCAGTCGAAATATTTGGTTTAACTACAACGAAATCTTACACGTGAAATGTCAGTCCTTTTAACTTGGAATTTGGCAAACAGCGGGAAGCACATCCAATGGCTGAGCAACATTTCACCATGATTTTAGCAACTCATAACAACTGAAAGAAAATTAAGATGGTAAAAGTTAGTAACTTCAAAGCTAAAGGGAACATATTTACCTTTCCCGGTATGTTTTAAGAAACATGAAATCATGTTAGAAAGCTAAAGGCAAATATTTTCTTCCAACACCTGCAGTTTTACCCGTAAAATTTTCCAGGGGTTTGGTTCTTTAATAAGGCGAAATATATTTAGCTATGCACCGAGGCGTCTGATTTCAATTTTGTGGGCCTGTGCATTTCCTATCCACCTTCTTACAGGCACCACGTTTCTTCTGCCACAGGGAGAGAGGGAGGGGCTGCCCGGTCACAGGTGGCGACGTGACTAGAGAGCCTTTGCACACTAACTCCTCCGAGCATACTAAACTCTTTCTCATCTTTCAGCTCTCAGCTCATGTGTCGTTTCCCTAGGAAAATCTTCCCTGACACTCAGATTAAGTCAAGTGCCTTCTAATATTAGCTCTCATAGAACACACACTTCTCCCCCTGAGCACTTCTGCAAGTTGTAATCTTACACTTATTGCACTTGATCCTCTGACTAATGTCTTTCTCCCCAACGCACATCAATGTCTGTGAGTTCCATGAGGGTATAAAGGGGCGTGCCTACTTTTTCTCACTTTTTGTCCTCACGGTTTAGCTGGTGACTGGCACATAGTAAATGTGTATACATATTTTGAATGAAATATGGTAAAGGGGAAGAAAGACGTAAGCAAGAAGCACTTCGAGGTGCTAGCGAGTGCCCCGGCGTCGGCCAGCAGCGCGTGCGACCAGAGGCGCTCAGAGCCCAGAGGCCGGCCGAGCTCCGCCCCTTTTTCGAGACTCCGGGCCACCCGAGGGAGGGAGGGGCCGCCCTGTCACAGGTGCCGATGCGGCCGGAAAGCGTCCCTTCCTTAGGGGCCACCCGGCCTCTCCGCGCCGCTGCGGTCCTCCTCGTCCCAAACCACGCCCCGAGGTTTGGGCGGGTAGCGACGGGAAGAAAAGAAGAGCCAATCTAAAGAGTTATTACCGTTAGCAGCGCAGACAACGACTAACATCGACGACGGAGATTGCGTCTCCCGTCGCTTCCGCCCCGTTTCTCCGAGAACCGGAAACCTGGCTGCCCCGGGTCACGTGATCAACCGCCATATTGGCTTCGGGGGCAGCGGCAGCTGGGAGGGGGGGTACTAGAGCGGCGCGCAGCTTCTCTGGGCGTGGTTTTCGTCCTGGGGGAAGGGTCTGTGGAGTGTGAGGGGAGGTGGAGGAGATGGCGGCGACGGCGCAGGAAGATGGCGCCCACGGCCAAGAGCGAGGGCAGCGGGGCTGCGAGCACTATGACAGAGGATGTCTCCTGAAGGTGACGACTTCAATGGGCTCTTCCCTGACGACCTTCCGCCGGGCTGGGCTGCGGGTGGGGTGGGCAAGGCGGTTAGTCTTGGGTATAATTTTGAGGCTAAGCTGTTTATCAGAATACCTTCTCCTCCACCTGGAACTGAGCTCCTCTGGTAGACAACGTTTTTGGCAAGGCGACCATGGGCCCCATGTTTCCTCCCTGCTTTGTACTTTGCAAGCAAAGCCCTTTTTGCTTGGGTAGAGCTTGGGCTTACACAACTTTACCAATGGGTTTATTCGTCTTTTGCTTCTAGACTGAGGCAGACCCGGGCCTGTCTTGAGCTTTCCCCCAGGACCACCTTCTGGTGTATGGTGAAATGAAGGAGGATAAGCAAGTGGAGACTCGGAGTACGATTTCAGCTCCTGTAGAAAATAAATTTTACAATCTGTCAGCTTCATTTTAGAAACAATGCATGTGCCCAAGCCTGCCAAGGAGAAAATGTTTGTGTGAAATAGGAAGACAATCATGTAATTGCCATTAAATAAAAAATTATTTATAGGAAGGTGCCAAGTACGTATGTATTGTTACTTTTGCTGTTTACTTTGAGAAAACTACCTAGTCAATATAGTTTTTAAAATTGGCACCCATCCAATTGAAGTTTCCTGATTTTTCCTTCTTGCAAAAAAGCAAGAAAAGATTTTGCTTAGAAAGCTTGAGCTTTGGAGTCACACAGCCCTAACCACAAATCTTAGCTCTGTCTCTTAATAACTCTATGATTTTGAGCAAGCTACTCCTTAAGTGACCCGTATGTAAAATACAAACGATAGAAGTTCCCGCTTTATAAAAAAGTATGAGGATTATTTACTAAAGCACATGTATAGTGTTTAGCAGGATGCATTCCCTGGAGTAAGTGAGCAGTGAATGTAGACTGTCACCACCACTATCATTATCATCCTGAATTTTTTTGTCCATCTCGCATTACCAGTTCGCCCTTCTGGTCACTGACCATAGTCATTAGAAGCAAATGGTAGTCTCAGGCCTGTAAGGACAACCTAAATCCTTTTCTGTAGGCCACTGTTTGGTGAACATTGCTTTACTGCAGTAGATGAAGCTCTTCAAAGTTTGTCATTCACCAAGTGTGTGTAAGGAAGTTGAATGCTATCGTTATGGTTCTGTTTCTACTGAGATGTTTTATTAGTCTTTCAAACTTGAGGTCTAAAACTGAATTCAACATCTTGGCTCCCCACCCCGAAGAGAAACCACAAAACTTGATCTATGCTTCATAGCACTAAGATACTTGGCCCTGAGTTTCAAACACTTTTTGTCCTCCCCTACTTCTTCCTTAAATAACAGAGGCCAAGTGAAGAGTTTCAAGGAGGAAGTGATCAACTAGATCAAATGCAGTTATTTGAATAAACTAAAACTGAGAATTGACCTTTGGCAACGAAGGTTGTCACTGGTGATCTTGGCAAGAGGAGTTTCAGTACAGAGATAGAGGATTTTCTTGACACTAGGAGTAGATTCAAGAGAGAATTGGAAGAGAGGAAGTGGAAATAGCACTCATAGACAATTCTTGGATTTTTTCTCTAAGAGAGCAAAAATGAGGCTGTGGTTGCTGGGAGAGGTGGGATCAGGGGATTTTTTTGTTTTTAAGATGGAAGGTATTGCAGCATGTTTGTATATTCTTGGAATGATTCAATAAAGTGAGACCATTTTGTAATGCAGGAGGGAGAGGGAAAACTAGGGACACTGTCCTTGAGTAGCCAGGGGGAGTGAGATCCAGTGTACAAATGGAGGAAGAGTTGGCTTTAGAAGTAGGAAAACTGTGAATTCTTTGTAAAAGAAGAGAATGTGGAGGATGAGTTATATTTGCAAGTAGGTTGACGGAGTTTGTGGGAGGATGTTCTCTTTTGATTATTTCTATATTCATAGTCAAATAGAAGCAAGGTCATGAGTAGTGTAAAGAGGGAGGAAGAGGTAGAGTTTTAAAGAGAGAAGATGTGTGAAATGTTCTTCTAGATCCTAAGTCTTAGACTCTAGAAGAATGAGGTAACTGACTAGGGAAATGTGATAGTAAAGAGGTCACTTTTTATGAGTGATTATGACTTAAAAGTGAGACTTTGAAAGCAGTATGGTGATGCTTTCTCTTTAGCCAAATTCAGCTGCTCCTAATATAGGTTAGTAAGAGAGTTAGATTTAACTAGGGTTGGGATTTTGGTGGATGAGAGTGGAGAGGGAGAGAGGAGGGAACTATGGTGTATAAAAGGGAAGACTTGCAGTGAGATGAAAAGAGAGGAGGTGGCGGTTAGAGAATTTCATGCTTGAAATTAAGATACATAGAGGGTGCAGTTCTTTTTCTGGAGCAGCAGTTCCCAAAGTATGGTGAATAGACCCCTGGGGACCCCTAAGGCCCTTTCAGGGGGTCTTGGGGATCAAAACTATTTTCTTGAATACTAAGATATTATTTGTCTTTTGTTGTGATGACATTTGCACTGATGATGAAAACGCAGTGTTTAAAACTGCTAGTACCTTATCGTGAATCAAGGCTGTGGCACTGACCTATACCACACCTATACTTTTTTTTTTTTGGCAGCTGGCCAGTATAAGGATCCAAACCCTTGACCTTGGTGTTACAGCACTATGCTCTAACCAAGTTAACCAGCCAGCATGCCCCCCCCCCCCCCCCCCCCCCCCCCCCCCCCCCCCCCCCCCCCCCCCCCCCCCCCCCCCCCCCCCCCCCCCCCCCCCCCCCCCCCCCCCCCCCCC